AATTTAAGGGGGTCTGAATACTTTCCGTACCCACTGTATAATTATGTCTTATGCTGAAAGATGGCTAGCATGTTTGTAGTAGTCTCTGAGCTATGGAAAGTGTCAAAAATTATAATTGGCCCTAACTTTCACAGCAGGTGACAAAACATCATTATGATTATGTTTAGATTCTTTTTAAGATGTGAATTATATGTTTTCTGTCTCCATTATTCTCAATAACACCTAAATCAATATTTCTCAATATAGTTGTTACTTTTAAAAAAAGAAGAAGTGTATTTAATATGCATGTATTCTCGTCCTATTCAAACATCAGGCATGATGCTAAAATTACCTAGTAATGAGTGTTTGTCTTTTGGCAGCGTAAATGATTAGCACAGACCAACTATGCCAGTCCAATTTAGATACAGAATGGAATGAAGGGACTTTGGTCGCCATTAACGCTAATGACATTCAGGCAATTATATCCAAACCATATCTTTCCCAATTAAAAGGAAAATACTCAACAGGAGCAGGTTCAAAATGCTTTTATCAGAGCCATTTTACAAATGGCCCAACCATGTCAACCATATCCATGTCAACAGTAAATATATTTCTTATTAGACAAATCCATTAGTTGTAGGATCCACAATCTATAAAACTAAAGCCAATGTGTATGAAGCCAGTCTAGGTGCAGATTTGTACCTTAGATCCTCATCTAAAATAACAGAAACCTTTGGTTCCACTGACATTGAATGTACAGTACATCGATTGTATTATTTAAAATAAAGAAGGCAATACCACAGACTGCAGAGAGAAAAGTAACAAAGAAAAAACAGTATAGAACAGTATAGAATACCCAGAAAGATGGGAATGGAAATCAAAGGAATGGTCATCATGAGGAGAAAATGAAAACATTGACTGAGCACATGAAAACTACAAGCACAATAAAGAAAAACCTATATCCCTTATCAAAGCACGTCTGTACACCTTGTAGCTTCTTCAACAATCTGGACCTCACTATCAAAAAGAGGCGAATGTGAGTAAGCAAACAAGTAGTTGCTACTGTGGAAATTGCAGTGTTTCAGATGGCGCCAAATAAAAAAGGAAAAACTTGCGATGAGTGTGAGAAATCCCCCAAGCTTATTAGTGAACATGCTGATCTGGTCCTCACTTTATGTTTTAAACTATGCTAGCTGTATTGTACTCTACCATGACTTCTAAAAGCATACTGCTTTTCCTCTTAAAGAAGCTATAAAGGAAAAGCACTGACGATTATAGCCTTGGGCAGCAAGGGAAAAAAGAAAAATGTAGGTTACTTTAATGAAAGATTTTGGTGTAGCCTTTAGCTGCTATTGTGGGATGTGTCAACCATTATTTTGGCTGAGAAGGATTTTTCCTTCAAGCACTTCCTTTGTTCTAAAGCAGTGGCTTTCAACTGGTGTGCCGCAAGTCTGTAATGATTGGGTCATGGACATCAGAGGAAAACATTCTGAATGCAGATAATAAAATGGAAGTATCTCATTGAGTACAGTATTGATTGAAACATGACATTGGCTTACCAATATTTAAAAGGCAGAAAATATTTCCTGTATCTTTTGTTGTTGACGTCCAACCACATGACCTGTCATAAATTGGCTAATCAACATCATAAATCGGCTTACCAACATTTAAAAGGCAGAAAATACTTTTGTTGTTGATGTACACGCTATGACCCAGACCTACTAGGAATTCATTATTAAACTGTAGTGCTATGGTGTGCGTTCAGTGGATTGTTCTGTTGTTTAACATGCCAATTGTTAAGCTGATGAATCATCTTTCCAATAAATAAATAAATAATAAACATTTGACTAGGCAAAAAATGTTGAATGTTGTGAGTTGTGAAAATTACATGATCTAGGACCTTTATACAGTGTGTGCCAATGTAAAGACTGTAAGTCTATCCATCACAGCCTTAAATTCAATATGGCGTCAACCTGACTAATGTGTGGCTTGCTTATTGCATGGCTTGAAGGAATACTTAATTCTGATTGGTCAGTTGTGAATTTCAGCACACTCATTCAGGCAACTGAAACCAAAACATTTTACGCAATTATGTAAAAATATTTAACACACTCTCATTGCAATTTGTAACTATTTGATGTTTTGGGCGAATTGGTGGCTAATTCATATGATATTATGTGTAGCTTTCTTACAATCTGTTCATGCCCCATGGACAGTTAGGTTTGAACCTTCACAATTGTTTTTTTTTTTCTTAAAATTTGTACAAATTTGTTTTTGTACAAATCCCATCATACGAATTCATATGAAATCTCCACCCAGTAAAATAGTTACATTTTCTTATGAGATTGGTTTGACATTTTAAATGAGTGTTGTTTGTGTTGGAACTAGGGTTGATGAAAGAGACCATTTTGAAAGAGGCCCCGATTTCTCATGACACCGGACTCGCTCTCTTGTTGCATACAAATGCAACTGGCAATAGCTGTGAAAATGAGGAGGACTTCAGTATTAATATCAGGCCTACTGTAGCTAAAGTTGCAGTTTTGCATGCTGTTGCAAGGCCAATTGTTTCATATTGTTTGGACTATTTTAGCAGAAGATTTAAGATACATGCAAAATTGTCATTTAAATTCAGATCAATATTTCATGTCTATGTAGCTACTGTATCTGCTGACTATATGGGGTTATGTAATATCAATAAATGTTAAATGTTTAATTTTAAGAACAATTTTGCTTACTAAGAAAACTAAGAAATCTTTTAAGCTACGGTCTAAAAATGGACGAGAACATCCAACTTGCAGTAACTTCTCGGGACAAATGGCAGCCTATTGCAGGGCTGCATGGGCCACCGATGACACAAACAAGATCTGACCTATGTCATTTTACATCTTGCTCTTTTCATCGACTCTTTTTTTGTGGAGACGTCAAACGCAATAGGCTATTATATAAAACAAAGCGCGTGTTTGCAGGAGGACGCCTTGGGGTTGCAGGGCGCTAAACCCCGGGTGGTCAAAACTCACTCATTTAAATAGTATTGCCGTATCAAGAATAAGCACCCGCTTAACTGCTCCATCACGAGCTACAGGGAACAGGTTGCCTGGGAAACGGCCGCATGGCAACAGGATCAGAGCCGGGGGGTTGTCTGCTGCTAGCTCTGCTCCCGTTTCCCATTTCCTCACTAGATGGTGTGCAAGCCACTGGAGAGTCGACTTCCTCCCGCGGTCAGGTTCCGATCAAAACAAATCTGGGAAATTACACGGAACGCCATTTCTCGGGGTTTTCGCGGAGGATTATTCTATTTTCATCTAGATATTTATATTTTTATTTTTTGATAACGGCGCGGATCGTGCTCCATTCTGCGGTGATGGACATAATGATTGCAGTGCAGGATGCGTGCGTCTCCGGTCAGTGGCTCACCGCTATAATTCTCAGTTTTTGCTGCTTTTTACCATCGTGTTTGCCCGCTGGACAAACTGTGGACTATGCGTCCAGCGAGAGTGTGGTCAGCAGACAGGGAGACACCGCGCTGCTCAGGTAGGAGACTCAAGTCACTGCAGAAGTGTTGAAACTAAACTCGGCTGGCACCTGCATCAGTCGCGCTGCTCTCAGTTTTGTAAACAACGCTCGGCAGATCCCCCAGTGCCGCTCCGTCCCTTTTATTTGGGTCACAAGTCCTGCTGATTCCCATATAGACCAGAACGGTTTGGGACCATGGTGATTTTTCCGACATATTTTCGAGTTTTGGAGATGAACTGGCTCAGTTGTAGATCTTTAAAGTCTAGGGTCCAGACAAGGGGTCTCTATAAGAGGTTGCATAAGGAGCTGGGGAAGGGGGTAGACTTTTGTAAACCCCGCCAAGCGGAACACTTTGCACATTTACAATGAAGTCATTCATTATTCCCACCGTCCGAAAGAGCCCCACGAATGAATGTATGATACTGGGGGGAAAAATTAATAAAGATAGAAAAGTTGCACACGTTTATGTGCGGGATTAATGGGGGGTTGAGTCATGTCAAGTTATGAGTAGTTTATGATAAACGTTATAACAAAATTCCAACCCACCGCGTTTATTGAAACCTTTTTTTTTTTCATGGGTGTGTCTGACGGTGACTGATGCAAGTGACTGATGCTAAGTTTTAATTTTATTTGTTAAGTTTCACAAGTCAATTCTTACCGTTTGCTGCTGGGTGTTATACACTCTAATTTAGATAAAATGTTTTTTTCACAATTTCAGATATTGGCTTATTTCATCCCTGGGGAGCCTATGTAGCTATTTTTCTTCTTTAGAACCGATCCAAACGTTTATATATTGTATCAGGCCACACCTCTTACTGTCAGTGCTGATTAATCGGAAGGATGTTACTGTGAGATTTTCTCCTCTGTTTTATCTCTTCTGTTGTATTATTAACTTGAACACCAACACTTTAACTATAGTGCTGTGCTCTCTAACATATTTAATGGATGTGGTCAAATCATAGATTTGTTTTGCTAATGTACATCCAGTTATTACAGAGGGATTGTATCAGTTGTGTCAGTGTGTGTGTGTGTGTGTGTGTGTGTGTGTATATATATATATATAAATCAGTATATATACATTAATGATATATATCTACAATCAGCTCCTCTTGTATTTTGCTTTATTTGTGGAATTGTGCTGTTTTCAACACAAAATGATCACACATTTAAGCATGTAGTATTGAAGAGAATATTTAGGATTTAAAATGTTAATGACTTCTCAGAGTTTATCTAATCTGTCTTTATCCTTGGCGTTGTTGGTCTCTTGAGCTGAAGAGCATAAATTATGACAAATACTGTGATCTCGCTTAAATGGTTCTTGACTTTGTGCCAGTAAGCCCACGTTTAATATTTGCAATTTGGCTGTAATATATCAACATACTGTATATTACAGATATGATGCCAGTGGTACATCTTAACATTATATTGTTAACATTATCAGATTTTTCTTAAATTTTGTTCAAGAATAACTTCAATATGTTGTGTGCCACAGAGGAGTCTAAATTTTGTGTGGTATCTAACCCTGGATGTTATTATTGGTAATACAGAAAGCTATTAGAAAACCAGGCAGGAACTTAACATTATCTGACATTCACCAGCCATGAGTATCAGAAGGCAAGATGTTATTCTTACAGTAAATATAAAAGATTGTGGTTGGCCTCTCTCATCTTTTTAAGTGGGAGAACTTGCACAATTGGTGGCTGACTAAATACTTTTTTTCCCCACTGTATATATATATATATATACAGTGCTGGGTTGTAACTGATTATATGTAGTCTGGATTACATAATTAGATTACAGAAAAGAAGTAGGCCTACTTGTAATAAGATTTAAAATAAGTAATAGAATATATGTTCTTTCTTTTTTTCCAATTCTTTTCTGTGGCAGTATAATTGTATCATTGCAATATTTTAATAGAATATTCCTAAAGAAGCCCCCTTTCCCAGTTGTGGGGGAGGTCATGAGACTCAGGATAAAATATGCAGAAAAAAATAATCATTGCCACCAGATAATGGTTATATTCAAAGCAATTATACCTGAAGCACTTCTGAAAAAAAAACAGTAGTGCCTTTCAAGTAGATGTAACCTCCCTTCTCCTCAGCTTGTCACTGATTTTCATGGCTTTTGATGAAGCAGGCTCACTAGATACCAGATAAGCTTCTTTGTCCCTCAGGTGCTAGACACCCACTCTACTCTCAAACTGGAGAGCACACGGGCCTGCGCCGTTCACCTTAACAGTAATCCTATCATCAGTCCTCAGCACATTCACTGTTAATATTGAAGACTAATTTGTCATTGGCTCCGTACTATATTGTATTGAATTTCATTTGAGTACAATAAAGTCCTCATTGAGATCATTAGAAACATTTGAACCATTTGTTAATATTTGGCTTAAATGCTTCTAATATTCTATGTACAGCATTAAAAGGAAACTGTGTCTCAATTCATTTATGCAGTGCATTGCCATAGCTGCAGGTTTTTAAATGGAGTCATGTAAGCAAGCCTTAAATTAGTCCCTGTCATTTGCATAATGAATCAATGTGTGTGGATTGCATGTGGCTGTAAATGTTAAGTAGATCCGAGTAATTGGAGGGACTGCATTGGTAATTATTAGTGAATGGAATATAAAGCAGTGAAGCAGATCAATAGCATTTAGGCTTTCTTTCCCCTTCTGAGAACTTAAAGTGACGTATCACTATGCTGGCCAACAAAAAAAAATCAAAAATCGCTTGATGTAAGGCAATGTTGATTGTAGTTTCCCTTGTATAATGGACAAAAGTAATGTTCTAGGTGATTGGGCTCTTTTATGAGGATTATTTATTTAATATAGATTCCTATTTCAGCTACAAAAATGTGTACTGATATGTTTATTTTGATTTTTTTCTCCTGCTATTGGAACCATAAACGTCTCAGAGATAACTACTAGCTTGTTAGTCCATTGTAATTTTCAAAAAAATAGTTTTTTAATTATTTAATTAATTGTGTTTATTACTTAATTGGCTTTGCTTTTATTGCTTTTATTCAAAGCTACTTCCAGTGTATTCAAGGTAAACATTGTCATGTATGTTTGTTTCCTGCAAACTAAACCCATAACTATATAGTTTTTAGCACCACACTTTACCATGTTGATCCCATAAAGCTTCTAAGAGTTCCTGTAGAGTTCAAATGTCTTAGACAGATTAAAAGGTCACGCATTCAAATATTTTAAATATCTGATTGTGTGCTGATAGGCTTCTGCTAGGAGATTTGGCAAGGCTTCACACTGACTGAGTCTGGTAGTTTTCAAATTTTTGAATACCCATTGACCACATTTGGGTTACATAACAGCCCCAGATTTCCGGCTGGATGGTGGTTGCAGTTTGTTAGTGTCTGAATAACACTGGGCAGTATCATGTTGACAACACTAGATCTTTCAGAAACTGTTTTTAAATCTGAAATGAGAGTGTATATGTATAGTATATACTGCATAATCTGTATTACTTGCACTCTAAAAAAAATGTTTGGTTTGCATCAATCTTTTTGATTTATGACAACTTTCAGCCAGCAAACTAGATTGAGTTAGAGAAACTGAATTTGTAGAATAAACACAACTCTGCTCAAAAAATTTTGTTGTTCCAATTAATTGAGTTCTTATTTAACATGTAAATTTAATAAACAAGTAAGATATTACTTCGTTCATTAAACTGATACTATCCATTCCTATGCAAAGCATGCTGGGAACTAGAAATCCACAGCCCAATTTTCAAAGTAATCAAGACAATTTCATTTACTACAATCTAACTTTTTAAAGGGGTCATGAACTGCCTTTTTTAAATTTTGTACTGTTGTTTGAGGTCCACTTTTCAATTGTTATCAAGATTTTTACATCCAAAAACCTCACAATTTAGAAGTAATAGGCTATTTTCTGTCCTGTTTTGATCCCCCTCATCGGAACACACCCTTTGAATAGGTGTGGCAGATTGTTGACTCGGAAGTAAACGCCCACTGGTATGATTGGATAACATGTTTCACAGCCTGCATCCTTCATATATGGATGCTGCTGTGATTTAGATTAAAAACGCATGAATACTCAGTGCATATCAAACGATCTGTAATAACAGACAAAGCAATAGTGACCATGTAAAAAAAAAACTTACTCACTTGTGTCGTGCAACATCACTGTCAGACTCAGATCCAATATATTCTGTACAGCATCGTCTTTTAGTTTCAATATTTCTTAGTTCAATATTCAATAGTGCTTTGTTTGTAAAAAAATCTGATGTGAAAAATGAAGTGAATAGTCTGGAACATTAAAAATAATGTTCATCCACTCTTTCCTAATTTTGGGATTAGAAGGAAGGCAATGCAAAGATGTTTTTCACATCTTGGCACTGCACAGTGTCTTCTTGTCTTCAGAGCCATCTTATCGTTTGGTTTCTGCTTAGACCTTTGTTTGACTCTCTCGTTATTTACACTACATGTGCGAATCGGTGGGCGGGGCTAAACAGGCAGTGATGCAGAAGCAGGTGTTGATCTTCTTCTGCGGAGGTGGTGATTAGCCACACTATTACGTCATAAAGTGGCAGATCCACAACCTGTCCTTTTGGCAGATTGGCTTCAATATAAGCTGTTTTTAGACTAATGAGAAAGCTTTGAGTTCTGAAACTTACAGGATGTTTTTATAGTACAATGACCTCTTATATGTCAAAAGATCAAGAGAATTTTGATTTCTCAGTTCATGACCCCTTTAAATAAATAAAATAACGCGGAATATTACACGCAGTATTAAGTTGACATAATGATTATAATGGCAACAAAACTCATGAAAATAATCTTTGCAACCTAAAACGTCTAATTAAATTAATAAATTAGAATTTTTAACTTGCAAGTTGTGGTAGTAGGTCCCCTGAATTTTCTTTTTAGAGTGTGGATCTTCTGAGATAAAAACATAATTAGCATGTGATTCGAACTAATCAAACGAGCAAAAGTAGATCATGTGATGCCCCATTTATGCCCGCAATGTGATTTTTGTCCTTCGG